AAAAATATGAATTTTGCTCAAGAGTACATTTATTTTTGTAAAAATCGAAAATTTTCATTAAGAAAAGTTGATTAGAATTGAAAATTACATTCAAATATGCAATTACACCGATCTATCTGAAAAATCAGATTTTTTTTAGATTTTGCATTGATCCACTTAATTACGCTTTCCTTTTCTTGATGTTTGTGAAGAATTTGACAACTTTCTTAATGAAAATTTTCGATTTTGTCAAAAATAAACGTACTTTACTCTTGAGTAAAACTCATATTTTTTGACACTCGTATACCACTGAAAAAATTTGATATTTGATGACTGTATTCTAGGTTTTAGATAATGAAGAACTTTTTATGAAGAATAACTTTTTTCCTAAAATTAATAATAAAAAAGTTTTCCATATGATTCCAACTTAGGGGGACATACTGTATATAGATTACGTGAATCAAATTTGAAATAAATATACTTTATAATTAAATTAAATAAACAAAGATTATTTAACGTAATTTGTTAAAAAAAATTTACCATATCTATTTTAAGTAAAAAATTGCATTGTGCAATTCACAGACATTAAGTTGCAAAAATTCTTAGCGATTGTCTTCATTCCTCACTCCAATATAATTAAATCAGTTAATAAGATTTAAGCAATGCTCTCAATATTGATTTGTTTTTTTTTGTGTTGAAAACGACGATTTCACATACAAATTCGTTGTCTATCAAAGGGTTTCTAGATTAAAAGATTTTTGACCTCTTTGATTCCGTTATAAAGTTTTTAAAAAAGAAAGATAAATCGTTAAGAGATAATTTATTGAAATCTAAGAATTTTATATCTTATTTAACTGATTTATATAATAAATTTGAAACGAATGTCTTCTGTATAACAATTTAAGACCTGGATGAGACTTTTAATGAAGATCATATCTGTTACCTTTTAGTGGTAACAGAAGAATTTGCTCAGAACACTTTACTCTTGATAGTTTTGTATCGGTCGGTATTAGAAGTTTTAAAAATTGAACGTGTAAGTTGTTTCTTAATAATATTTATACATATTAATAATAAACAGTGAAAGAATTTAATGTAGTGGAATCAAGTTTCTAGTGTTTGTATGTCTCTTACAAAAGTGGATAATTATTGAGTATTTTTTATTTTTTACCTTTTTTCAAACTATCACAGAAATATTAGCAATAAATAATAATTATAATTTTTAGTTTCATTGATTCAATAACATCATCATCCCAAACATATTTCATTAAAGTAAGAATTAATGTATTTTATTTTAATTTCTGTCTTATTTAAAATTATAACCCCAAAATATAATAATTAATTCGTTAAGATAATGTCATGCTCTACTCGAGGAAGATTTTTCGTCATAGAACAAACATGCATGCATTTCATGAAATAAAAAATTTAATTTTGCTGTTCCCTTTTACTTCCTTTGGATACGTCCATGTGGACGCCAATCTGTCAGACATACGAGCGTCTGCCCAGCATTGGAGTAGACCATTGATAAAGCAACCTCAGGATAAGTTTTTTATAACTATTTTCGATAATTGACCTTTCCCATTATTCAACAATTTCGCATTACTTATGCGCGAAAAAATCGCGGGATTTTTGAATCTAGTAATTTTTCAAACACATTCTGCAATCTCATTCTTATCCTCGCCTTACAATTGTTGGGTTGGCTACGACGATTACCCCATGTTATCGTTACTTTAAACAACTGTCATCGATTCTATATAGTAGGGAACCAGTGAAACTTTTTTAGTACACATTTGCAAAAGACCAAATTATAAATGTATCGTTAATAATTACCTTGTAGCAGATAGAAATACTTTGTTGCAATCGATCTAGCTGTGAAATGTCCTGTCAGCAAGCAAGTAGGTACCTACTGTGAGCCGAATTTCAAGAAACTTTTTTCTACTAACATTTGATGTAAATAATATCTGAAAGTTTCAAGTTTGCGCTTCTATGATAGCATTTTGTATTTGTACAGGCTTTTTTAAAAAGTCATCGTCGAATGCTCCATAGCAAACTATTTCCATGTTCTACAAGGTAAGAATGATCGATATATTTGTAATACAATTTTACTTTCACAAATAACATACCTAAAATTGTCACTGGCTCCCCTATCATTACTATTAAAATCAAAAACAAAATGACATTTGCGGATTTGTCTGGATTTGTAATTGGAACCAAGGGTAGGAAACATAACAACAATACATTTTGATGATTTTAAGCGGAAGTAGAATTTGTGCAAGAATAACAGAGATTATCAATAATGCGGAAAAGCAGGTCCGGATTTACACGTTATTACTTCTACTATTTCTGGTTAAGTAAATCTGGTTTGAAATCGAAAAAATTAATTGCCTTTACAGATATTGTTTACTAAGTTTTTCATTAAAATAAAAGTTATAAGCATGTTTAAACGAAAATCGTATTTTACAATAATTGTTTTTTTTTATAACCGACATTTTCCTTCGTCGATAAGCTTAATTTAATCTTCTCACATTAAAGAGAAAATTCAATACTATTACAATATGTAATAGGTTTATTTAAAATCTACATTATACATATTATGAATGCAAATATGTACAAAGTTTGCAGAGTTTGTTTTTACAAAAAAAATAGGAAGTTACAATTTTTAAATCATTGAAGAAAGATACGGATGCATATCAGACTCCCAAAAAAATTAATCTGATTTATCCTAAAGTGAAAACTATAGGTTAATCAAATTAAGATTTCCCACGTGCTGTCGATCAGCTGATTTCGCCCGAAAAAGGTAACCTACGTAACCTTAATCTTTGCTAATAAAGTGGTGTTTCATACGGTGTATTATTGTGATTATTCATTATGTATGGAAATTATATTCTTTACGTTTTTTATTATAAATCATCGGCATCAACTGCTATGGTTATTAGCCTCATGTTCTGTGTAGACTTTGTTACTATTTCCCAGCGCCACTTTAGGAACAGCACTGTTAATTAGAACCCAGCAATGAATGATAGAGTGAGAAATCCAAGCTATGCATTAGAATTAATTTTTAATTCATCAAATTAAATAAAATACCTGCCACCGGCGGGATTCGAACCTTAAATCCGAAAGTCCTGACTCTAATCACTGAGCCACCTACCCCCTTTAATTGTTGTTTGATTCTTTGTTTGTGTTGTTTTCGTCATTTTATTATGAATATTGGATTAAGTTAGTTAAAAATATTTAACTATTTAGAAGCGACTCCAGCTTTCACAAATGTCCAAGAAGGTAAACAATTATTAAATGACGGTGATTTATAGGGCTGCTGGATTACCAAAAAAATTATTGATTATTTTCAATTAATCGATTATATTCGAGGGATAAATGATCATTATTATAATTATTATTTTCGATTGTTTTATATCAATCTACATATCGATTGCTTTCATTAATCAGTTATTTTAAAATAATTATTATTCAATTATTAGATTAATGGATATATCGATATTATTTAATCGATTTTTATCTAATCCAAATACATATTAATAAGGTAATCAAACGATCGTTTTATAACATGGAATTATCGAACATATTTATTAGAGAAATCTATTTTTTTGTATGTCCTTTAAAATCGATTATTCGATTACTGATTATTTTGATTAATCGATTAATCTAAAATAATAATTATCCTTAAAAAGTCGAAAATAATCGATTATTGTTAATAATAATAATAATAATAATAATTAATTAACGGGGGGATGGGTGGCTCAGTGGTAGAGTCTTTGCCTGTAGATCCAAGGGTCCCAGGTTCGAATCCCATCATTGGCCGGGATTTTTTTATTTAATTTAAATTATTTAAAATGAATTCTGATGCCTTGGTAGGATTCCCCACTCGACCATTCACTGTTGGGTTCTAATTAACAGTGCAGGCTAATAACCTTAGCAGTTGATGCCGATGACACCAAATAATAAAAAAAAATTAATTAACGATTTTTCTAAAAAATAATCTATTATTTTGCCCTCTCCTGGATATAACTAGAGGTGGACAAAATAATCGATTAGTCAATTATTTTTAATTGAAAAATCGATAATCCATTATTTCTGTTAAATCGATTATTTTCGATAAATCGATTATTTTCGATAAATCGATTATTTTCGATAAATCGATTATTTTCGAAAAATCGATTATTTTTTATTAATTGAAGTATTTGGTAAAAAATTTTAAAAAATAAAAAAAAACAAATTTCCTGTTGGTTACCTTTTCCTATAAAGCAGGAAACTAAACTAATTTACTAAATAATATCAATACCACAATACCTATGTGAAATAAAATTACGTAAATTTAAAAACGGGGCGAATAAATAGCAAAACACAGAACCAATATCTATGTCAAACTGCCAACAATCACAATCATCGACTGCCGTTGTTGTTTCGTTATTTCTTAAATTAATTTTAAGTTTATATGTAAAATTCTACCTACAAATAAATGATTTTACGTTCTGTGTTTTTTTACTGTTCATTTATAAAACGCATTCAGGAAAAATTCCTGATCTCTTTAAATACGTACATGTTGTATTTTTCATCTTAAAATTGCAGTAAAATTTATTAGTTTGGAAGGTTTACGTTCGGCGTGAGTCGTGGGGTCTGCTCTAATGCTAGACACATGCCCGTGTCAAACATTACCTTGCCATGTGATGGTGCTTCCGTTTGTAGGTCTGGCGCTTCAAGTTTTATAGGACGTTTAGAGGAGTTTACCCGTATTACAGGTATATAACAAATTATCTGTTTTTTTGGTCTTTTACTTCAAGAAATACAAATAAAATAATTATGGTCGGATTCAGTCAAATATAGTCTACAACACAAGCATTAACAATATTGCAAAAACCAATGCTAAAGGAACAAAATCAGAGCTAGCGAAAAGTATATTGCAGTTTCATGACATTATAATGAAAAATAGAATAACTCGCAACCCTCAAAATCCAATTTTTATTTTCATTGCACGTACTTTTCACATTCTGGTAATATCGTATATTTACCTTGAGATAATCGCGTAGGGGTAGTCACCCTCACTCCGTCGATGGAGAGATTCTCGGATAGCGGGTAGATGGTCACAATCCCTTCGCTGTTTTCGATATGGCAATGTAGGGGAAGCACCCCCGTGCCCTGGACGGGAATGTCAACTCCGGGACCGCTCCCCACCGTCACCCGACCTGAAAGAAAGAAAAACAATTATGTTAAGAGATGGAGGGAAACTGAAAGGAAAATTGCAGTTTAAGATGAGTGTATTACAATTTAATTAGTGGTGATTTAGGGGCTTTACGACGTACTAATTTGTCATAAGAGAGAGGGTGTGTGTAATTTCAAGAGATTTGTATTTTGTAATATTTCATGTCATATCATGTCAACCAATGCCTAAACCATTTTGAAGATTTTTCATTAGTAGATAGATACATATTTAACAATTTGTGAAGGTTTATGAAACGAAAATACCAATATTACCAATATTTAGATCTCTGACTTAGGGGTCTATTCTGTAACAATTCCTTTATATTTAACGGCCTTTAAAAATATTTTCTTCTTTACTTCTGTCATTATTTAAACGGATCTTTAAAATACATTAGAGGACTATCTTAAAGAAATCTGTTTAAATAATGACAGAAGTAAATTAACGAATACAAATATACTTTTAAAGGCCGCCAATATTTTTAAAGGCCGTTAAATATAAAGGAATTGTTACAGAATAGACCCCGTAGACCCGCATTTATAAACAGATCTCATCTGAGTCGGACTTGGCTGAGTCGTCCTTGAACGAAAATCGAAGTTCGGTTATATCGCGTGAATTTAGAGATGGGTAAATGTACTTAATAGTTAAGAATTTGTTACTGCCCATCTCTAAATTCCAATTCAACATCAGAACCACCTGGAACTTTGGGGAAGTTATGACTGAACTTCGCTTCGTTCAAGGACCACTCAGCCAAGTTCGGCTTAGCTGAGATATGTTTACAAATACGGGCCTTAGATAGTGCAATTAAAATTTAACAAGAAGTATAGCCATTTTCAAAAGAAGTTAGTCTTACATACAGTATTGGCTATAGAACGCTTTCCAATACGCTTTAAACAAGAATGTATGAAAACTACAGAGAGTCAGCTTTAGAGCGAGCAGCGATGCCAGTTTATACAGCCCGGCCAACGTCAGGCCGTATAAACTGGCAACGCTGATATTATTCGTTTCTTGCTCCCTCTAATGCTAACTCTCTGTAGGTTTTATATCCACTTGTGCAAAGCGTATTGGAAAACGTTTAGTGGCCTGACACTATATATTTTTTTAGAATATTTTGTTTAGTTTTTATTTATGCACTGTTTAAATAAAAACGCGGAAACTTCTAGTACCTAAGTAAGGTATTGACTTTCATTTATTAATGAATAAAAGTAATAGTTTTGTGTTAAAAGCGTAAATATAGTATGATATTGTGATGCCTCCTAGTTGCATTTTCTGGTGAAACATTCAATACAATTGATTCTGGCTTAACGCTTAGGCTTAACTAATTTTATTACGCAGAACGAGGTATGAGCCGAGTTCTAATGTAATCTGTAAAAAAATATTTTTGGTAAACGTACCATAATCAAACTTATACGTCTACTAACTAAAATCAAACCTACGGTTCCACTATTATCAAAATACATAGCAATTACGAGGTCATTACCAAATTACTACTAAATATACCGAATACACTGTCACTACCTTCGCAGCCTTGAAACAAACACATTAATTAATAATTAATTACCCCGATGTGTCCAATACCATCATGCCACGATGAAACCGCAACATTTTTAAATGTTAAAAACAAACACGGAAAAATTGTGTAGGTACGGAAATGAGGAAAACAGCTGCACGCAACAAGTCCCACGGAACAACTAAATGTTAGATAATTACATAACCGTCGTAAACATTTAAGTAACGCACACACACAAATTTTAACACATCAATGAATAATTTGGAATGTGGAATAATCTTTAAAATACAATTTAGGCAAGGAACCTCTGCACTCAGGTTCCTATATATAATATTCATGATCTTGTTTACAAAATAGGTATAGGTGGTATATGCACAAAACTGCCACCAGTAGCGACAAAAAGTAGATAGTAACCAACCAGAACTACTAAATCTAGCGTATTATACACATCAAGCATCAAACGTAATAAAGAGTAAATTACGGACGAATATGTAATTGCTTTAGAAGGCGAGTTATGTACTATACATATTTTTTCTAAGTTAGCAATGATTTTATCTAAGATAAAATACTCACGGATCAGTATGTAATTGATTTACAACGCGAATTATGTACTAAACTTTTTCTATGAACGCAATGAATATACCGAGTGTTCAAATTAAAGTCTTACAGTTAAATACCGCCTTTTATAAAAAAAAAAAACGTTTCAGACGAAAGTTTTATAGTTTTTTGGGGAAAAATTTGGCTAAAATCGTTTTCTATAGCTAACTATAATATGGCCTACTTTTTTTCGCGCAGCAAAATTTTCAAGCAGGTGTTACTAAATAAGTAAATGTCCAATAAAAAAATGTTTCCTTTAAAACTTTATTATTTTTTTATGAACTTTAAGAATATGTAAAAAAATGGGGTTCCAATTAAAAAAAAAAGTCCACCTCGATATTATGGTCAGCTATAAAAAAATGAATTTAGCCAAAATGTAAACTACTTCATTTCTTATTTTCAACAAAAACCAGAAGTAAAGCATATTGAAGTTGTCACATGACTTACATTATATTCGATGCTATAATGTAATTTTTACTTTCCTGTCTGTAAACAGATAAGGAAAGTATAGAAATAATGATTTTTTCGACCTCGAGTTTTTGAAGGATTTTACTTTTTGGGGTCCCCTGAATTCGTTTTATTTTCGCGATGATGTCTGTGACTATCACTTTTACTACTAGAGGAAAAAGGCCAAATACAGTAAGTATAAAATTTGAAATAAAAATAAACTTGTGATTTAAATAATAACATTTGAGAGTAAAATAACGAACAAAAAAATAAGAAGGGGGCCGGGGGTGGGCCGTCACACCACTAAAGAAAATCTGCAAAATGTTTAAAATTAATTTACAGGTTATTAAGATAAGATGAAACTATTTTAAAAATGAATGTCACAGATTTGAATTTGTGACTTTTACTAAATTATAAAGAATTCTGCCTGGATTAAAATTTCATCAATCCAACTTTCTGCACTAACAAGTTATTAAAATTTACGGTTTCTTTGTAAATAAGCCGACTCGTCTTGTGGATTTTTTATTTATCGATTCTTCACAAGAATCACGCATTTTTAAATAAAAGTAAATTATATCCGTTCAGTACAATATTAACGTAATATCCATTCTGCAGCAGGTGAGGAAAGAAAACATTTTTTCTACGATCGCGAGGAAAATTAAAAGTAAATACCACAGTAGAAGAAATGTGGGGCTACCAGGACACTACTTCCAAAGTCTCCGCTAGTTGGCGCCACCTGTCAGTGGTGGTCAATTGAAACTCGGCTAAGTGGTTTGCGACTCGACTAAGCGATGGTTCAATGGGTGGTCAGTAGAAGAAATGTGGGGCTACCAGAACACTACTTCCAAAGTCTCCGCTAGTTGGCGCCACCTGTCAGTGGTGGTCAATTGAAACTCGGCTAAGTGGTGAATCGCTTAGCCGAGTCGCAAAGCACTTACCACGAATATATTAAATTCTAATCAGATAACACGAGCACACATTCATTCTACATATAAATCAAAACATTCTGTTGGAAAATAAACTATGTATTTGGAATAGCCTTGCATCATGTTTTTTAACTTATTTAGGTTATTTGATTATTATATAGTAGTCATTCACTAATTTATTTTAATAAAATCATTTATGCAATGAAATGTCAAACGTTGCGTAAATTAACAACTGTTATTATAATTATATGATTGTAAAAACTACTTAAAAATGGATATAATCATAGAAGTGTTCAAATCTTACTCGTTACATAGTATATTGTAACGTTTATTTATTTTAATTTATATTCGCAAAAACACTAATTTATTTTATAACTTAATTTATTTGTACTCAATACAACATAAGCAGTTAATTTATTAATCTGCTCACAACGATATCTTAGCTTCAAATAACTGCTCAAACAGCAAAATAGCCTATTTATACTTATAAGTAACTTCTAGAATGTTTAATAGCAAATTCCGGCGAACAGTGCCTTCGCCAAAAATTGTAATTTCGGGAGGCTTCGTAACGGGTACCGTACATTCTAGAACTATGATTCGCTACGACTGGCAAAGTAGCCCTTTCCGCTCTTAATACACAAATAACTATTTAATGTGATCGTAGAAAAAATATTGGGTGCAATTCGAGCGGAAAGCTATTTGCCGTTTAAATAAAGGGATCGTTATGGAAGACGTACGTACGTAAGGATAATTAAAAAAAATACAGTTTTATATTTAAATAAATATGTTTGATTTGACTTGGTTTTGCAAAACAAGTGTAAAGTTGGAAACAGTTTTCATTTCGGCACTAAAAAAAAAACTAGGAAGAATATATGTGTGCAAAAATCTCACTCCTCACTATTTTAACCAGTTGATTATTCAAATTATATTTTTAACTTATAACTACCGATTCCGAAAGCCAATGAGCCAAGGTTATCCTGTCTACGATAACGTAAATAATAATAACAATAATAACATTAATGGAAAAAATATTCATTTTCTATACAAGCAGATGTGATGTCATGTAGCGTTAAATAGATTCAAATTAATATTAACGATGTAAAATGATCTTAATTGTAACCAGTCCTTTTTAAATTACAATATGTGTCGCATTCATGTTCTCAGTCGTTGTGAAATTGAGGTTTTAATATTTCATGACTTCAGAATTATGTTTAGATGCTATAAATGTTAATCATTGGTGCAACACTCTTGGTATTTCATACAGTCTAGCTAGCGTAAAAAAATGATACTGAATTATTAAAAACCACTTTTCTTTGAAACAGGAATATAAAGATGAAAAATTTTAATGGAAGAAATAAAAATTAACAATATACCTCGGTAATGATAATATAATCTTGATATGAATTCGAAGAAAAGATTTACAAAAAATTAAAACAGTTCAATTGTTTTTTGTAAAACCTATTCGAGTCATTCTTTGATTTATTAAAGGCCATTCTACCGGATATA